CAGGTTTTTCATCCTCCTCCTCGTCCTCTTCCTTTTCCTCCTCATCCTCTTCATCCTCTTCCTCCTCCTCCTCATTTTGAATAACTCTCCGACGTCGCACCACTATGCGCGTCCGTATGCCAGACAGGGCGCTTCGCTTGAGAATGCCTTACAATGGATATCCTGAGGCTGAAGCGAGAAGAGCAGGTGCAGGAATGGAGGGCCAGTGGCTTCCAGAAAGCGGTTCCCGCCTCAGCTTCGCGCGCCTTCGTTTGCAAACACTTCACGATGCTACAAGGACGGAAGGCTGGTGGATTCCGAAATGCGACCCCCGCCGACGTTGGGCGGCGCGCAAAAGGGGGGCGAGGGAGGGGGGAGGGCTTCTTGGAAGGAGGCTGCTTCTTGGAGGGCGACGGCCTCGCATCTGTAGCGAAGGCCCGCGCACTCTGAGAAGCAGGGGTGCTTCGAAGAGGCCCTCCCCCTTCCCCCCCACCCCCCCTCTGCGCGTGGCTGAGACGCGACGCGCACCCTCGCTCGCACAAGAGTCCAACAGCTGCCCAGAGGGAGGGCCGGCAGCTTCCAGCGCGCAGCTCTCGCCGCAGCGCCGCGCGCGTTCGTCTGCAGCGCACCAAGCGCCGATCCTTGTTGGCCAGCGTGGGCCCCTGGCAGTGTGTGTTCGGGCAAGGTGCTGTCTGTGTGGAGCGGCCTATGTGAGGCCATCTACGATGTCCACCGATGCTGTGCAATGTGAATGGTGCACTGTTTGTTGTGCAAATACATCTGGCACAACGCTTGCGAAGCAACATGTGTGGTGCAGTATTGGTTGTGATATATCTGTATATAAACATGAATATACATACATACATTACATTACATTACATTACATTACATTACATTACATTACATTACATTACATTGCATTACATTACATTATATTGCATTACACTACAATACATTACATTACATTACATTACATTACATTACATTACGTTACATTGCATTACATTGAATTACAATACATTGCATTGAATTTCATTGCATTACATACATACAGACATACATACGCATATCTATATATAAGCGGTGCAAAGTATGGTGTGCAATTCACTTTGACTGTCTTGAAGCTGTCCTCTCCACTGCTCGTGCAAACATCCCACCCTCCCACCCGCAACTTGGTCGCAAGACCTCTGAAGACCGTGACGGTTGGTACCGAATGGCACTTGGCAACGACACCGACGCCGGCGACGACAGCGACAACGACGACGACGACGCTGACGCCGCCGACACCGACTACGACGACACCGACGACATCTCCGACGACTTCGACGACGACGACGGCGACGACGACGACGACGACGGCGACGACGACGACGACGACGACGACGCTGACGACGACGACGATGACAACGCCGACGACGACGACGACGACGACGACGACGCCGACGCCGACGACGACGACGACGACGCCAAGACGACGACGACGACGACGACGAGGGAGTAGGGAGGACGACGACGGCGACAACGACGACAACGACGGGGGAGGAGTGAGGACGGCGCCGACACGAACGACGAAGAAGGAGGGAGGACGACGACGCCGACAACGACAACGACGAGGGAGGAGGGAAGACGACGGCGACGACGACGACGGCGACGAAATAGGAGGGACGACGACGAGACGCCGACGACGGCCGACGACGTCGAGAGAAGAGGAAGAACGACCACGGCGACAACGACGACGGAAACGACGACGACGCCAAGACGACGACGAGGAAAGACAGAGGACGACGACGGCGACGACGACGACGACGATGACGAGGGAGGAGGGAGGACAGCGACGACGACGACGACGCAAGAGCGCGCGCGCACGCTTTTTTTGAAAATCCGTATTGCGAAACCTTGTGTTTTTGTTGTATGTTTTCCGGACACACGATTTTGAAATCCTTCCGAAACTAAATGTTCTTGAAGGATTTCGGCATGTGCGCGCGACGACGCGCGCGTCTGCATTTCGTCCCATGTTTTGCAGAGGATTCTCGCGACGGCACGCGCGCAAGGGCGTTCGAAAGATTTCGACATGCGCGCGCGAGGCCCGTTTGGCAGCATTTTTAGAAAATATTGAAAAGCCGATGGTTTTCTTACGATTTCGCAAGAGCGCGCGCGTAAGCGTTTTTTTGAAAATCGGTGTTGCGAAACCATGCGTTTTGTACGTTTTTTGGAAACTCAATTTTGAAATCATTCCGAAACCGAAGGTTCTTGAAGGATTTCGGCATGAGCGCGCGACGACGCGCGCGTCTGCACTTCGTCCCATTTGTTGCAAGGGATTCTTGAAAACTTATGACTTTTGATAAACCAATGCGCGCGCATAATATGTTTTGCAAGGGACGGCGGGGGGGAGTGATACCGGCCTGGCTGGAATAATTTGAGTTTATATTTAGGATGGACGATGGTGCGGAATAAAAATGAACTCACAATAACCCAGGGGGTACCGTTAACTCCGGGGGGGGTAGAGTCTATTCTTTTTCTAGAAAGGAGAATCGATGTGGAGCAACCACTAAGGCGGCGACGAGGCGGCGACGGGGCAGCGACGGCGGCAACATAGCCGCCAGACCGCCAGACAGGTCCAAACGACGGGCGGCGACGGGGCAGCGACGGCGGCAACATAGCCGCCAGACCGCCAGACAGGACCAGACAACGGGCGGCGACGCGGCGGCGACGGGGCGGCGACGGCGGCAACATAGCCGCCGGACCGAAAACAGGCGCATTTCCCTACAGGAAAACCAAAAAAAACTAAGTAAAATCACTGTTTGAAGAATAAACAACGCGGCCAGTATGCTTTCAACATAATTTTATCGCTGGAGACAAATCCCTCCAATTATACGACCCGAACCTACCAATCGCGCAACACACATAATGCTGGGGGAAGGCGGCTCCTTTTCGAAATGGGGTTTTCGCCTGCGCATTCCGCAAACTGTGCGACCTGAAGTTCGAGATTGAGCAGCATTCACACGGATGGGGGGCATTTCCTTTTCAAAGCTCGGTAATCATTGCTTCCCCATCGGTCGGGGGAACCACTGGAGAATCTCTGAGGAGGGGCCATCTGCGGTCATCTTGGGGGCTCTCGTGGGCTGTTGTTATTTGGGCTTCTTGGGGACCTATTGGGGTCCGCTTGGGCCACGCTGGAGCATTGCACGCTTCCTTGAACTTTCTCGTGTGATTCGTCTGCGCATCTTACAGCTAGAAGAATGGAGAGCGAATCCTTTGCAAAGCGGATTCTCGCCTAGGTGGCGGGCCCAACGAACGCTCGTCGATAAGGGGGCGGCACTTTCCGCAGTGGGAAAGAGAGCTTGTAGGCACATACGTAGAAGGGAATCAGGGCGGGAGGGTGTATTGAATCATGGCTGACGCATGCTGGGCTTCCTCGGGTCCTCCTCCCCTTTTCGTCCTCCTGATCATGTTCCTACTCCCCCCATCCTCCCCCCTCTTCTTCACGATCACCATCATCATCATCATCATCATCAGCAGCAGCATCATCGTCATCATCATCACCATCATCATCATCAATCGTCATCATCATCATCATCAGCACCATCATCATCACCATCATCGTCGTCATCATCATCACCATCCGCCTCATCATCATCATCCGCCTCATCATCATCATCATCATCATCATCATCATCATCATCATCATCATCATCATCATCATCATCGACGTCGTCATCATCATCACCATCAACAACATCATCGACAGCAACAGTATCATCATCATAATCATCATTATCAGCAGCATCATCAGCAGCATCATCATCGTCATCATCAGCAGCAGCATCACAATCATCATCGTCATCATCGTAGTCCGAATCATCATCACCATCCTCGTCGTTGCTGCCGCGGCGATCATGAACCGCATAATGTTCCCGCACATCGCCACCGTCACATCACCATCATCAGCACCACGATCAGAATTACGTATCATGTTTACTCATCCCCCCCCTCCCCTCACGCCACCCTTTTCCTCCACACTCTTCCACCTATCCTCCTCCATTCCCTCCCCCTCTCTTTGTACCCCACCCTCCGCCTCTCTCTTCCCCCTGTTCCTCCTCCTCCTCCTTCTCCTCTTGCTCCTCCTCCTCCCCCTCCTACCGTGTTCCTCCTCTGCCTCCACCCCCTTTCGCTCCTCGCCACAGAACTGCTCGCTGCGCCGGCGGAGGCACGACATCGAGCCGCCGGGTCGGCCACAGCTCGACAAGGAAGGCAGAAGCACGACTCGGGCAGTGTGGCTTCGACAAAAAAACTAGAGTGGAGGCCAGTCCACAAGAAACCTTCCACAAGAAGCCCAGTCCACAAGAAACCTTCCACAGAACACCCAGCCCTGAGACCCCAGGACGCGTCCTACCTGTGGTAGTGGCTGTGGAAAACTGGCCCATCAGGGGGGGGAGCGGCGGCGGCTTGCGCGGCGCCCCTCCCCCCCGCCCCACCTGGCGAAGCGCGTTCCACTACTCGCAAAGTAACTACTAACTACTCGCCAATGGCCTGGATCCGCCATGGGTAAGGGAACGAAACGCGCCAGGGAAGGGGGGTCCGGCGCGGATCCGAGAAATCCGCGCGGACCTCCGAGTTGTTGTTATGCTCATGTCATTCTTCATTCCCCCTAATGAGGGGTTTGAGTTACGTTACATCGATGCAGACATGTGATTTTTTCCAGCGCGAGCACCTGATGATGAGTGCAGTGCTGGCGCGGCCGCAAGAAACCCTCGCGAGAAATCCAAACCTGAGAACCCGTGCGCGAGGTGCACCTGAGGGGAAACCCGGAGCACCCTGAACGCAGCAGCTCCTTCCGACGGCTGCGGGGAGCCACCGCGCAGCGCGAGGGGCAGAGAAACCCAGGATACCCTGGCGAAAAGCACATGGCTTCTTGCTGCGCGCCCCCGCTGCCCATCGATGCGGACATGTGCTTTTCGGACGCCTGCGAGCAGGCACTCTGCGAGCAGCGGCACGCGCTCGGCGACCCGCCCCTCTCCCGCCGACGTGCATGGCGCGGGCGTCGCAGGCCGCGGCGTACTCGCACATGGCCGCCAAGAGGCGCCTCTCGGCGAGGGCCGGCCAGGGGGGGCTCCGGGCCCTGCCGCGGGGCTGGCAGGCTGGAGCTGAACCTCGAACCTCGCGACACCCAGATGGGACACACAGAGACATACAAGTACTAGATGTCCTCCTTGGAGGCGCGCGTCCGACCCGGACATCTAGTATACCCATCTTGTAGTATATCGTTTCCCGAGCGGCGTGGCCAGAAAGCGCCCGCCACGACGAATATACTATAAGATTTCTCGGTGCGCGCGTCGCCCCTGGGGGGCGACGCACATACAGTATGAATATGTTGGGGTGACGCCGACCAGACCCCCTCCTCGCTCTGCGAAAGAAACGCGACGGGAAGTGTTTCGCCAGCTTCGGCCTCCGGGGGCCCTTGCCTGGCCTCGGGACCGTCAGAAAACGACTCGGCACGAAACGCTGGTCCCCGGGAAGGGGTGCGGGCCTCTGGGGGTCGACGTGTGGAAGAAATCACGACGTCGGGGGTCTGGGAACTGGACTGGATCGGATCGCGGGCGAATCGCCCCGCATCGAGATCAAGTCGGATCGCCGCGCCTGGCTCCCGCCGGCCCGGGCCGATGCCGGTGGTTCCAACCGAATCTGACTACAGTGCGGGCGCGTTCGCAAGAAACCCTCGCAAGAAACCCAACCCTGAGAATCCGTGCGCGAGGTGCACCTGAGGGGAAACCTGGAGCACCCTGAACGCAGTAGCTTCTCCAACGGCTGCGGGAAGTCACCGCGCAGCGCGCGGAGCAAAGAAACCCATGGTACCCTGAGGAAAAGCAGATGGTTTCTTGATGTGCGCCACCACTGTACCTACCAGACCGCCCCAACCCAACCCGAAGACCCGAATCTCGCCCGATTTTTTCGGGTTCGGGGGGCTGCGGGCTGCACATGTGGTTGCTCCCCGACCCACCCACACCGGAGGGGCCAGGGACGTAACGAGATAAGAAGAGGCGCCACGAAATCTGGGGAAATGTCATGGCCCCCGCCACGACATCCACCACCACCCCAGGCATCACCCCCCTCTTGGCCACCCCCCTCCTGGCCACCCCCGGGCATTCTGGTCCCAAGCGTCGTGAGAACATCACACCAGGGTCTTCGGCTTCGGGCCCCCAGGGGCCATCAATGATAAGGATTCCGCGCAGAGGTGATCGAGAGCCCCTGTCGTGAAGTGCCCCTCCACGACCTCGAACTGGCTCTCCTTGCTCCTCCTCTATATATGTGATCACGGGCGGCTTAGGTAAAACGCGGATTCGACCTAATCTCGGCGGTACCCCGACTCGCCTGCCTCCTCTGGCACCAGGCGGGGTGACCAAGGGGGCGTTGCTGCCCTACCTTGTCGCGCCCCCTCGCCTCATTTCCCTTGCCCACCCCTTCAGCTGCGTCTCCGTCCCTCCGCTCTGGAATTCCCCTTGCGCCATCCTGCGCCCCCGACTCCCCCTGTAGTCCCCCCGCCTTCCCCCGCTGTCACCCCCCTCCGCTAGGTCACGCCGCTCTCCAGGGAGATTCGGCGTGGAACTCCACGCTCACAAACACACACACATATATATATATATATATATATATATAGGTGTGCATATACACACATATATATATATACATGCATATACGCATGTGTATATATAACATATGTATACCAGCATTAACTTGCGACGGTGGTGCTCTTCCTTTCCTCCTCCTCCTCCTCCTCCTCCTCCTCCTCCTCCTCCTCCTCCTCCTCTTCCACCTCCTCTTTCTCTCTCTCTCTCTCTCTCTCTCTAGAACCTCTCTCTCCCAGATCATCCCATGTATAAAAAATCTCTTCTCTCGCGCTTTCATCCCATATCATCCATACTGCCTCCTTCTCTATATCAGCAGCAGGTGTGGCAAGGGTTCTCATCTCATACCGAGCAGCTGGAATGACAGATCTCAGAGACTACTCTACAGGACGGAGGCTTCAGACGACTTCGTCAATTTCTCGGAACACGTATACGATGGCTGGCTCAATTGCATCGGGCACCCAAGTTCTACTGCGATATCTTCCATGGCATCATGCACCAACTACGCCAGCCGATCCGAGCAGGGGAGCACGAGGAGATGCTCTTAGCATACGAGACACTAGCGCTCCGAGCTCAGAGGACACCCCAAAAGGAGCTCAGGGACGCCGTGATGATGGACGGCGAAGGAGAGTTCGAGCGGACTGGTCTGGTCGACGTCCTCGGAAGGTCGCTTATCGACAGACTCGTCGCCTCTTGGGAGGTTATACTGAGCGCCTAATGATCCGATGGCCGTTCCCGACCAAACATATTAATGACCACAACTTTCTCAATGCAATCACCCAGGATACATTGTTTCGTTCAGCCCACGCATTTCAAGAGGAAGCCGCCAGCCAACTCCGCCAACGCAGGTGGTCTCAGCGGCACCACCGACGTGCGGTTCCGGTCCACATCGACCACATCTACACTCACTTCGAGGAGTGCGTCTGTGAAGCATCGTCGGTTTCACCCTCGTCATCCTGGCCATTCTCCGACTGCGGAGAGAGCACAGGCACGACGACGGATTCCAAAAGTGGGCCCGCCGGGTGCCGGCCATGGCAGCTCCTGACCTTCGAGCGGCTCCACGAGACTGGGACCACCCTCTTCTCCTGCAGCCCTTTGGATGCTTCCCGACGACCTGCCAAACCACCCCGATTCAACCCGAAGACGCGAATTTCGCCCGAATGGCGGGTTTAGGGGGGGCTACGGGCTTCTTATGCGTTTCTTCCATGTTCCCCGACCCCACCCCAATGGAAACGGGGGACAGATCGGGGCCCTCGGGTTGGATCGGGGTGGCTTGGTGGGCGGTGACTTCCTGGGCCCACCGCGGACGGAGGCCCGTGCAGTGGTCTACGCCCTGGAGCGCCACGGATAGACGAGCGCGTTCCACTGCTCGCAAAGTAGCTACTCGCAAATGGCCTGGATCCCCCGCGGAGGACCTACGATAAATTACATCAAAGCAGACATGTGTTTTTCGGACGTTTGCGAGTAGGCACTCTGCGAGTAGTGGAACGCGCTCGGTGAACGGATGCCCGCATGTTGGAGAGGCCCTTCTCCGTCAGACGGACCTTCCACGGGGCCGGGTGGCCGAACAGGCCCACGCTCAGGTCGGGCAGGTCCCCCTGCAGGCAGATTTTGAACGACAAATAAAAAATCCTTAACAAAATGCTCAAAAAGCTACTGAAAAATAATCGACAGATCGTCCGCAGGCTATGTTTTGACTATTCTTGAACTTGCCTCTTGTAGAGGGAAACGCCCGACTTCAGTCCACGCCGTCCTTCATCCACAAGTTGGCCGAGAACGCAGCCCCCCTTATCGCATCCAACCACGCAGCCTCGGCTCCAGAACGTGCCAGCTTTCACTATGAGGCAATGGTCGTTCGGAGGTTCTGCACGAAGCGCAACCAAGCGTGATGCAATGGAGTCTGAAGCCATCAGCAGGAGACGGGGAACAGGACAGCTACATGCAGTGGAAACGACTAGCTTGGACGGCGACGTTTCCATCGGCAGCCAACGAACTTACCCCGTAGGAGGCAGGGGACGACATCTCCTCTGCAGATCCTGGAGCACTACCAGAGGCGGCACTGCATGGAGTCCTATATCAGCTGCAGGTCAGCGAGCATCACTTCCTCACAGAAGAGGCTCGTCCGCTGTGGCTCTTTGAAGGCAAGAAAGAGGTTGAGCCTGTGGCGTTCCTGGCGGCGAAGTGGAGAGACCTTCCCGGGTTCGTCTACTGGAGCCGCCTGGAAGTTAGAGCGCATCTGCACCTAGCAGCATCAATGACCAATTTCTTTCTCAGATCGTTTCGTCGCCAACGCATGGCCATGCATCACATCGACCTACATGTCCGCCGACTTCGCCTACACAGTGCACGACGGCCACCTCTACTACTACTACTACTACTACTACTACTACTACTACTACTACTACTACTACTACTACTACTACTAAAACTAATACTACTACTACTACTACTACTACTACTACTACTACTACTACTACTACTACTACTACTACTACTACTACTACTACTACTACTACTACTACTACTACTACTACTACTACTACTACTACTACTACTACTACTACTACTACTACTACTACTACTACTACTACTACTACTACTACTACTACTACTACTACTACTACTACTACTACTACTACTACTACTACTACTACTACTACTACTACTACTACTACTACTACTACTACTACTACTACTACTACTACTACTACTACTACTACTACTACTACTACTACTACTACTACTACTACTACTACTACTACTTACTACTACTACTACTACTACTACTACTACTACTACTACTACTACTACTACTACTACTACTACTACTACTACTACTACTACTACTACTACTACTACTACTGCGACTACTCCTACTACGACTACTACCAGCAGCCTGCCAGCAGCAGGAGTGACGCAGGTGGGTAAGCTCAGCTATCACACCCATGGCACGGAGGACGAAGTCCGCCCCAACGCGGGGAGTTGCACTTGCAGCCATCACAGGCAGTCTACGCCAAGACCCCGTGCTGGAAGGACCACGTGTCGGCAAGTCGCTTTTGTGCTGACTACACCTCGCAGGCGCTACCACACCCACCTAGAGGACCGCCCTCAGCCCCCTGGCGCCTCCGACGCGTGGGAGGCCCCTGGCATCTACCGGCGTAGCCCCGTCCCCAACGAGCTCTCCGAGATGCGCGGGAGGCACTCAGCAAGAGGGCTACTAGCGCCCGCATTCCCCAGCGGGTTCTTCGTCGATACTTTCGGCATCTCTGCGAGTGGTTCGCCCACGAGTGGATCGTGCCGCCCGAGGCCCCGATGCACTGGCAGTCCGTCGAACAGGACATGACGGGCAGCTTGTGGGGCCGAGCAGCAGCTGCGCTACAATCGCGGTTGTGCACACCACGTGTCCTCCCACCGCTAACGGCGGAGACAAAGCCGCCGCATGTCTTCCCAACGGTAAAAG